AATTTTTATAAATGAATCTCAGCTCGACACTTACAAGCGCTATGAGCTAGTTTGGAGTCTGACTGTCGATACAAGTTCTTGAGTCGATATCTTACCGTTTACGGTATTTCAAATGAACGCTATTGGTTAAACACTTCGAGGCACATTGAAGATGTTTTCAATTCCACTACGGACTTAAAACGGCTCTAATTCACCGGAGCACTAACAGTGCAGCGAGGCTCATTTAGAATAACTTAGATCTACAGTTTCACCGTCTAGATACACCGTCGAATCTAGGCAATGTAATCTCATTTGCTTTCATTCCTCCGCGGACCGCCATTCTAACGAGTGACTACCTGGATCTCCATCAACCCCGAGTCTTTTCTAGCCTTCTAGTCATTTTCAGCAGTAGTTTTAAATGGTAGGGGGACGCTCGCCGATCGTTCTTACGGAACTCACTCTTTGCGTTGTGCCTAACGGGCTCTCTCTCGAGCCCAACCAGCAGCCGCACAACGGCGCATGATATAGGCCGAATGACATTACTGACAAAGACAAGGGAGAATGGACTGGCTATTTTTGGCCTATTAGCCGTCGTCAGCCAGTCATACCCAACCCCGAAGTGTGGCACACCCGAGGCTCGAACCCGCGACCTGTTAGTTAGACGTTCACGCCTCTAACCACGGGGCCACGAGCCCGTTGCCCTGGCGGTTTCGATCGGGAGTATACAATGATAGGGGGCGCTCACCGATCGTTCTTGCGGAACTCACTCGAGTTCGAGCCTCGAGGTTGGGTATGACTGGCGGATGACGACTAAAAAGCCAGGAATGGCCAGTTCAGTCTCCCTTGTCTTTTTCGATAATATCATACTGCCCGAAAGGATAATTCTTAATTCGGTTGGTGTGTTAGAAGTACCGAGCGCTTCCAACACCTTTAAAGGCACACAAGCCGGTCAAATACTCTATGGACAAACTTTTCGCGAACTTAAAACGCGCACCGTCGAGCGCAGACTGTTTTCTCAGTCTAGGAGCGGACATGCATCGCTGCTCATGTTTTGGGACTGTACATTAACCGGCGCTTTTTTATCACAAGAAAGCGAGCGCTGCCGGGCAGTGCTGATCGACTAGCCAGCCAGTTGCTTCAAAGTACCACACAAAAGGCTGCAATACCGGAAGTGGGATAATTTGCCCCCAGATATCGCGTCTGACTGTGCGGCGCTGTCTGTCAGCCTATGTTCCCGTCCCCAGAACCGTATGCCCGCGCGTGCTAATCGATTTTCGGGTAGCCAGCGTCGGGCTCGAGGGTGTTGCACGCTGTCACGCACGTGGGTGGCACGCCGGAAGCCGTGGCTGCAGCTCTCTCCCGCTGGGAGTTTTGCGCTTTTCAGGCAGATCGCGCTGGCAGCTACTGAAACAATCAGTCGCTGCTTGTAACAGTCCGCCGCTGGCAGTGTTGGCGCTGTGTCAGGAAAGACCACTTTAATATCCTGTCTACTTATAATTTCGTAATTAATCATTAAAAAACATGAAACGTGGAGTCAAGCCGCAGGGGAAGAAACGGTTCAGGGTTGTTGGCAGTACCTGGAAGGGTAGTGCGCTACAACAGAAGGACTCGCGAGAAAACAGCAAAGCCAAGGGTAAGAAAAGGGAGAAAATGCGGTGGCGACTGGCAGGCAAGTACGTGTCTGGTCCAGGGCTTTGCATGCACGTGGGTGGCACGCCAGAAGCCGTGCTGTGTCAACAAATACCACTTTATTATCCTGTCTACTTATAATTTTGCTATATATCATTAATAAAAGAAACGATCGGGGGTCGTTGGCAGTACCTGGGTGGGTAGTGTTTTCGGAAATGTGTGGAGGTAGAGGCGAAAGTTCGAGTTTCAGGTCGAGCACCAGAACAGTCTGTTTATTGGCAGAGTGGCATTACCGACAAAGACTAGGGAGACTGGAATGGCCATTTCTGGCTTACTAGCCGTCGTCAGCCAGTCATACCCAACCCCGAAGTGTGCAAAACCCGAGGCTAGAACTGGCGACCTGTTGTTTAGAAGTCCATGCCTCTAACCACTGGGCCAGAAACCCGTTGCCCTGCCGGTTTTCCACCGAGAATATACAGTAGGAGAGGCGTGGTTTTCTAACAAACAAGTCGCGAGTTCGAACCTCGGGTGTTCCACACTTTGGGGTTAGGTATGACTGGCTGACGACGATTTATAAACCAGAAATGGCAATTCCAGTCTCCCTTGTCTTTGTCGGTAATACCATTCTGTATGCCGCTGATCGATGATTGGCCAGCACATCTTATAAGTGTCGTATTTACAACCTCAGACGATAGACTCCTGCACGAGTTTGAAGTCACAAAACAGTTAACAAACTGTTCCCGTGCCCGGCCAATCGTCCTCTTTCCTTTTGTGTGCAAGTTTCTGTCCAAACCCACAGTCCTGACTGTACGATTCGATCGGTTGGTTTGTACAAAGTTCAAGGGCTAAATGGGCGTACATAAATCAGGTTACAAAACATTGTCATCTCGTTACGCCTTGTGGCTAATTTTGGAGAATTTGCGACGGTTGCAGAGCGATCAATAAAACAAATTGGCGAGCGATGAGGTGCCGACAAGGACAAGGGAGACGGGAAGGACAATTTCTGGTTTTCCAGTCGTCATCAGTCACGCCCGCCCCACTTTAGGTCCGCAGAACCTGAGGTCTTAACTCGCGTTCTTTATGAATCGGCTACCCAGCAGCCTTATAAAGTGACGTTTAAAGCTACGACACCAAGTGAATAAAGCCTTTTTTCTTACGATCGAGTCCAATTTCGGGCACTGCTTGCAGATTTGAGGCATTGCTACGCGGTAAGTTACTCCTTAACATATCGGGGATTTGAAACACGACCTTTGTTTCTTATCGTACTATCGTCTTCAAAGTGAACCTTCATTCGTCCTCAAAATCACTCTTCACAGCTGAATTGATCATGCGTCACTTTAGAAGGCCGAAAGCCCTTCACACGTGTTCAGTCTGGATAAGAACTAAGTTATAAACTATATAAAGAACATTTCTGCTCCGTCCAGTCCAACATTTCGGGGGCGTAAACCGAGTCGGTTAAAGCTGGTCTCGTGGTCACTTCAGCCTGCTATGCCCACCCAAACCATGCGTGCTTGCGGGTAAAAGGACATTTAGGACAGATTGGCTCGAAATCTGGAGCACTGGGCCTAACTGTCACTAGTGCAATGATCGCGCAAAAAGACCAGTTAAACACCACTGCCCCGGTAAAAGCCCGAACCAAGAAGCCGTTCACTTGCATATAAGCGTAGATAAACGGGCTTTTGCTTTTGGTTAAAAAGTGCACACTTTTTGTTTAGGTAGAGTGTGAGGCAATTTTTTATCAGCGGTGTACGACCTCAAATGCATACCTTTTTGTGATACCTGACTTCATAGGCCTTCAGTGAGAAGCAAGTCGGAAAAATGTCAAAAGATCGGAAGTCACAGTCGACGCCGCTACCGCTGTCGCCGCCGTCATTAACATCGCCATCTGTTTTATAAACTGTAGGTAGTCCGCGAATTTTAGCCATGGCTGGCTCGCTTTGTATAAGGGACTTTGCGAGTTTGCTCTAACAGTTGCTTCTTCCTCGTAATACGCCTCAGCACTTCATAAATAAAGGAAATCTGTGCCTTTCTGCCCAACATTGACAGCTTTTTAAAAATGCCCGGTTGAGCCTCCCATGTCTGCTGGGATAACGACAATGGTTTTGGCACTTTTTAGGGTTTTTAATACTTTCTTCGGGCGATAGTGCTGCAAAATGATTTGGATCCTTTACATCTCGTATGGCTCCGGTTAAGTTTGCGAAACATTCGTCTTGCAATCGATTTGCTGATGATGTGACGAAGCTGAAGATTGAACGGACGTAAAGGTTTTTCGAATCAGAAAGGTTTTATTTCAGTCCTAGAAGGGGCTCAGTGATCAAGTTATGGGATACATTCATGCCGTTGCCCCTCGCGACTCGCAGATGTACATTCGTACTACAATCCCATCGAATTCTAATTTCAAAAATTGTGGGTGCATTGCATTTCAATCCCATCTTTCTAAATCATGACTGTTATTAAAGTCACTTTTTTAAACGGGAATGTCCGCCTAAAATATTCCAGAGACCTCTCCAAAACGGTCGCGAAGTAGTAAAAGGACCGAAATTTGCTCTAGCAGTTTTTTTTCTAAAAATAAGCAAGATTCCTTGGGAAGGAAATAACCCTTAATGCCTAAATTCTCGAGACTGGTTCCCCAGCTCGTCGTCAGACTTTTGGGCTATGTACAAAAAGAGTTAACTATTTAACCGTGTCGAACAAGTGATTCTATGGTTAGCCGAAGCCTGCGCCAATGCGCGTCAAGGGTTTTTCGTCATTCCCTCGGCATTGTCTGCGTTTGTTTCCATTTGTCCTTGAGAAATTTGTATAAGGCATCTAAATCGATATGCCGATTGATGCATGCCTCATCTATGCGCATTACTTCCAGGAATTTGTGGCCTTTTCTTATTGGGCAAGCGCCAACATCGGGAGTCTTCTGCCATGCAAACTTGTGCCCGGTGTGCAGTGTAAGAATTACCTCCTGGGATAAATGCTCTCGTCTCTTCCCCGCTAACTGATGCTCATGTATGCGGGGTGAGGCAGATTTCCCAGTCTGGCCACAATAGACAGCATCACAACGGGAACATGGGACCTTGTAGACATCACCTTTCCTATCGAGATGGCCAACCTTGTCATTAGGGTGTGCAAGCTGTGTGTACGCAAGGTGGTTGCAGGTTGGTGTGCTACAGAGCGTGACCGATCCCATGAAATGTTGGCCGAAATTCTGAAATGGGTGTTCGAGTAGGAAGGATTACTTAGACGGAGTTGTGATATTAATTAGCCTGCAGTAGAATTCTGTAGTATTTCGTACTCACCAGGATGTCGGTTTTTAAATGCACTTCTTTTCGGCCTCCTGCAGAAATTACACTCGGTAAAAAATGACTACTTATGTAGCATGCATTTTGCACATTGATCTTCGGTGGTCGTGCAAGTTCGAATGCATTTTATAGAAAACCACGAACAAAAATATGCTTTCCTTCAGTTGTTTGATAGTGGATCGCATCATCTTCATATTTTACTCTCGAAGAAGGAGTATAATAAAGTTTTAAAAAGTTTTCTAATTCCTGAATAATTTGGAACCGGATCAGTCGCTACATTAGCGCTTAATGATTTCAATCTGCAAGGCGCATGCGTTCCGCGTAAAGAAAATCACATACTCTTCTATGCCTTTAAAAATATACCATATAGAGTCCATAAAGTGTTGCAATGGTTGCGGACCATGTTGTACATTTAATGAGGAGCACTGATAAACGGCCAGTTAGGATGCTACATGAATGGACATTGCGCGGTCTTAAAAAGCCCCATAATTGGAAACTTTTTAAAATCACAATTACACTAATTCTTCGAATATAAAATAAAAAGTCGACGTGATTCTCTACGAAATGACCGAAAGAAAGCACGATTTCGTTTCTGGTTTCCATTAGATGAATTTGAATTTGCAAGACCATCGAAAATTCATGGGAAAACTGTATGCTATATAAGTAGTCATTTTTACCTACAGTTAGTGACCGATCTCATGAAATGTTGGCTGAAATTCTGAAATGCGTTTTCAATTAGGAAGGATTACTTGGTCGCGGTTGCAATAGTGATTATCTTTCGGCATGCTCTTATAACATTTCGGACTCGGCAGGATGTTGGCTTTTAAATGCACTTCTTTTAAATGTCCAGTAGAAAGCGTACTCGGCAAAAAATGACTACTTTAATATCATGCTTTTTCTCATTGAGTTTCGAAGGTCTTGCAGATTCAAATATATTTTATAGAAACCATAAACATAAATATGCTTTCTTTAAGTCAATCAATAGAGAATCACGTCTTCTTTATATTTGGTACTTAAGAAAGGAGTATAATTAGGCTTTAAAAAAGTTTTCAAATGCCGAATAATTTGGAGCCTGATCATTCGTTGCATTAGCGCTTAGTGATTTCACTCTACAAGGTGCATGCGTTCCGCGTACAGAAAATCACATATTTATCTATGGCATTAAAGAGATATCCTACAGATTCCTTAAAATTTTGCGATGCATGCGGACCATGTTGCACATTTCATGAGGAGCAATGGTAAACGGCCAGGTACGATGCTATGTGAATGGAAATTTTGCGGTCTTAAAAGTCTCATAATTAGAAACTTATAAAACCTAATTGTACCCCTTGCTCAAGTATAAAATATAAAGAAGACGTGGTTCGCTATTGATTGACTAAAAGAAAGCTTATTTTTGTTTATGGTTTCTATAAAATATATTTGAATTTCCAATGGGAAAAATGCATGCTACTTAAGTAGTCATTTTTTACCGAGCACGAATTCTACAGGAGATTGAAAAGACGTGCATTTAAAAGCCGACATTTTGCCGAGTCCGAAATGTTATAAGAATATGATAATCAGTATTACAACCGCGGCCAATTGATCCTTCCTAATCGATAACGCATTTCAGAATTTCAGCCAACATTTCACGAGAACGGTCACTCACTGTATTATAATTTCTGCAGGGGGTCGAAAAAAGTTCATTTAAAAACCAACACCCTGGCGAGTACGAAATACTTCAGGATTATGCTGAATGCTAATCAATATCACAAACCGCCTAAGTAATCCTTCCTAATCGAACACGCATTTAAGAATTTCAGCCAACATTTCATGAAATCGGTCACACATTGTACTTGTATCTGATGCTTTTTTAGCTGTCTTCCGACCTGTTCAGATACTCTTTTTACGTATGGGAGAGTCCGCCAGGTGAATGTTTTTAATGCCTGGGTGGCCGCAGTTTTCGAAATACCTTTCCTGCACCAAATTTGCCTTTCCTCTGCGACAGGCATCAGTTTCGGATTCATCTACCTGCCGGCGGCCACAGTTGTCTCCCAGTGGTTCCACAAACGTCGCGCCACAGCAACGGGCATTTCCATGTGCGGCAGCAGCATCGGCAGCACCATCTACAGCCTCTTCATTCCGCCCCTGGTGAGAGCCTACACCTGGCGCGGCTGTATGGCCATTCTGGCAGCCGTCTCGCTCAACTGCGTGGCTGCCGGTCTCTTCTTCATTGACCTGCGGGCCTACCAGAAACTGCATCCAGTCAAGAAGCCGACGGCGGACCGGAGGGACAGTGGCCAGTCCAAGGAGGTGATGCCGCGGAGCACTGAGGCGGTAGATGTCGAGGCCCACGCCCATCTAAAGGTGCCACATTCAAGGCTGTCCAACTCCCTGGCTGAGGTGCGTTGTTCTCTTGTCCTCTCAGTCTCCACCTTCTGTTTCCAGTCGGTTAATTGCTGTCCGTTGAGAATTGCAACCGGAGATGAGCCCAAACTGTATCGGGTGCGGGGATACAAACGCCTTCAAAAGCAATCAGGCTCAAAATGGGTGCCTGCAGTCACGAAGAGGCGACCGCCTGTCGACAGAACTCGGCCAAGCCACGATTTAAGAGGCTGAATGGATGCGAAACTGGTTCAAGCTAATCCTATTTTCTTTCAGTCTATTGACTTGCGTATGCATAACCGTAAATAGACAGTAAAAAGTTCGTGTGTCAGACACGGTTATAATACGTGGGGGGAGGGGTGGAGAAGGTTAATCTGATGATTAAGGCAAGCAGGCATCCGAAACGACAGTACACATGTGAGTCGCTCTATGGACTTGCACCCTCTTCTTCCTCATGATCTTTGGGATGTGGTGAGCGCGATGTGCATGTCATGCATGCATGCGCAAAACGAGGTTACGGGCAAAGGCAAGGGAGACTGGCAGAGCCGTTTCTTGCCTAGTAACAGTCACCAGCTAGTCATACTTCACCAGGAGCTGTCCTATCGGTTGTAAACGGAATATAAACCATGGCGGAAGGACGTCTTCTCTTATCTGCATAAACTACTAGACCCTATACGACGGTTCGTAAGAGTTCCAGATTGAGCCCGGAGGCATAACGAGACCAGCATGCCCCGTAACTTGATTAATGAACTCTCATCTGCCACTCATAGAAGGACTTTTTTGCCTCGGGAAGCCAGTAGACTGGCATCCGCCAATTCCGGCGTGAATGAATACCAGATCTGCATTGAGAGAGAGAATGACAGGGGGTGAGGCACTGCCAAACTTCGATTCGATTAGGTGCTCATGATCCAATTGACTGAACCCGTGCTCCCACCGATGTTTACGCCTTCGCATAACGCAACTACGAGAGTTTCGGCCACCGCCCCCCGCGTCCACTACGCAGCTTCTGCCATAGATAGATACAAAGCTAATAATTTCGGTAGTGATAAACCGCAGTTAAGGTCCTTAGCTGTGATTTTTTTAGAGTCGATTCCGAAAGTCAAACAAACATCTGAGTCGAAATCAGTCAGCTTCTGCCAGTAGCGGCGCAAAATAATTTCAGCAAACATTTACTACTGCTAGTAGTATGGGTTTTCATTACAGGGGTTTATAAATTACTCCCAGGAGCTAAACGTCCAGGCACGTGCTTTGCCAATGTTTCGAAAGCTGCATTACGCAACCGTAAGGGGCTCTCGGCAGAAAACGTACTTCACTTTGTAAATAAGGTAGTGGTCTCCACCGCCCACCTGACATTTCGTCGCTAGGGTTGGTGTAACGCGGCCGTTCCAGACCGTGGCAAAGTTCTTCCGCCCAGCGATAAGGAGTGCAGCCTTGGCCTCTTTCGCGGAGGCAGTTGTCATGCACTTACTCATAATTTCCAACTTTCATTCCTGTTTTCGCATCTTGACAGGACCCCCTTGAATCGACTCCAAATGATCTTCAGGAAGCCGGCGATCTTTTGCCACCGCACCAACAACAGGCCGCCGCCGGTGACGGAACCGACTCCAAGGAGGTTTTCGGGACCGCCACCCTTCCAGGCACGCCGGTGATGGGTGCCATTGTGTCGCGCACAGCTGACCAGATCAGCGCGAATAAAGCACCTAAACCGGAGGCTTCTCTGATCCAGTCGATTACCATTCCAGTCAGTAAGTTGCTCTGACAAACGTTTGGTTACATACTTGAGGTTGGCCAGTGTCACTTACGCTGTTTGGGTCCCAAGTAGGTCGCATCTTATTTCGTAGCCCCCCAGCCTAACCCTTAACTCTTAACTACTAACCCCAACCCCTAACCGTAACCCCATAACCACTAACTTCTAAGAGGTACGGCTACGAAGTAAGATCTTGCCTCCAACTGTAAGCACAATGTGGGCATTGAAAGGAAATATGTTATTACCGACAAAGACAAGGGGAACTGGGATAGCCATTTCTGGCTTATTTGCCGTCATCAACCAGTCACACCCAAGATAGGGGCTCGAAATTCGCGGCATGCTGGTTAGAAGTCCACAATCACTGAGCCACGGGCTCGCTATCCTGTCAGTTTCGATCGGGAATATACAATGGTAGAGGGACGCTCACCGATCGTTCTTACGGAACTCACTCGTTTCGTTTTGCTTTACAGGCTCTCTCTCGAGACCAACTGGTATCTGCACGGCGACGCATGATATAGGCAGTATGTTATTACCGACAAGGACAAGGGAGACTGGAATGGCTATTTCTGGCCTATTAGCCGTCGTCAGCCAGTTGTACCACCCTCCAAGTGTGCAACACCCGAGGATCGACATCGCGACCGGGCTTCTAGCTAACAGGTCGCGAGTTCGAGCTTTGAGTGTGCCACACCTTGGAGTTGGGTATGGCTGACGACGACTAATAAGCCAGAAATGGCCATTCCCGTCTCCCTTGTCTTTGACGGTAATACCATTCTGCCTATATCATGCGCCGCTGTGCGGCTGCTGGTTGGGCTCGAGAGAGAGCCCGTTAGGCACAACGGAACGAGTGAATTCCGTAAGAACGATCAGTGAGCGCCCCCTACCATTGTATATTCACGATCGAAAATCGACAGGAAAACGGGGCCGTGGCCCATTTGTTAGAGGCGTTGGACTTTTAACAAACAGGTCGCGAGTTCGAGCCTCGGGTGTTCCACACTTCGGGGTTGGGTATGACTGGCTGACGACGGCTAATAAGCCAGAAATTGCCATTCCAGTCTCCCTTGTCTTTGTCGGTAATACCATTCTGCCTATATATCATGCGCCGCTGTGCGGCTGGTGGTTGGGCTCGGGAGAGAGCCCGTAAGATACGACGGAACGAGTGAGTTGCGTAGGAACGATCGATGAACGCCTCCTACCATTGAAAGGAAAGAAAGCCGAATGAATATGGCGAAATCGTTAGTGGGGATTTAAGCACAAGCTAACACGGAAAGGGCGATCTCATGTATTAGAAATCTGCCGCGAGACTGAAGGAAGCCTAGAATCCCCGCAAAATACCTGGCTGAAAGGACACTCCGGTCAGCAATAGCCCAAACCTAACGTTAGACATTATCGTAACCTCAAAAGTAAATCTAAACCGTAAACCTAACTCTGGCCCTAAACTCAACTCTAAACCTTACATTTAACCTACCTCAAACCCTAAACCTAGGTCTAACCTTAACCCTTGCCTAATCCCTAGCCCAAAACCTAATCTTAACCGTTATCTAAACCTTATCCCTAACCTTAACCATATCGTAGAATGCTATTTCCGACAAAGACAAGGGAGACTGGAATATTCATTTTGGATTATTAGTCGTCGTCCGCCAGTCACACCCAACTCCGAAGTGTGGAACAACTGGGGCTCGAATTCGCGACCTGTTAGTTAGAAGTCCAGGGTCTCTAACCACTCAGATACGGGCACTTTGTCCTGTCGGTTTCGATCGGGAATATACAACCGTACCTCTTACATTAACCCTAATATCAAACCCTAACTCTAACGGGTAGCCTTAAACAAGCCTTTACCCTTAAGTCAATTCCCAGCCTGCCATTAACCCAAACGCTAAAACAAACCCTACTTCCAAACCGAAACATTAGGTTGCCCTTTTCCGTCTTAATTTCGGTCATTTTCCCACTAGCGATTTTAGAATCCTTCTTCGGATTGCTTTACTTTCAGTACCCACATTACGCTTACACTCGGAACCCGGACAGCGTAAACGACTCCTGGCGTATATGTCACTCGTCAGTTTGACGAAGGAAATTACACATTTTTGATGGACAACATGTGAAGCTGAGTGCCACTGGTGTGACCCGTCTCCTTCCGGATGTTTTGGCGACTGTTTGTCTTTATTTCGTTACGTTGGCTGGTCATCCTTGTTTACTTGACACAACAGCGACCTTAGTAACCTAACCCCTTACCTCAACGCAAATCTGTCCACATAAACACCGGCCGGCGCCACGGGTATATACTCCACCCCGAAAAGTACACCCAGTGATCGATTTCGTGAAATGTTTACCGAAATTCGGAAATGCCTATTTGATTGGGAAGGATTGGTTAAGTGGGATTGTAATACTGCTCACTGTAGGACATAATGCCGTGATATTTCAGATACGTTAGGATGCTGGCCTATCAACGCAACTATTTTTGTTCGCTTGCAATAACTGCAATCGGTGAAAACGTTCTTTTTATTGATTTTAGTGCCTTTCTAAATGTGGATAAATTTAGTGAAAAACATGCATAAAAATATTCTCAAACTTATTTGATTGAAAATCACGTCTTTGTATTCGAAGAAGGGAAAATTTTCAGTTTTAAAAGGTTTTCCGATTCCGGAATAATTTTGAACTCAAACTGCCGTTGCGTTTGCGTTTAGGGGTTTCAGTCTACAAGCTGTATGCTTTCACCGTAAGGAAGAACACGCATTCCTTTATGTCATTAAGTAGATACCGTAAAGGGCTCATAATATTTTTTTAATGGATGCGGATATGTTGTATTTTTCGCGAGTAG